CACAGACCCGGGGATGGGAGGTCCCGGGACACACAGCACAGTCCCCGGGATGGGAGGTCCAGGGACACAAGAGTATAGACCCGGTGACAGGGGCCCCCAGGGCTCCCTTTGTTCCTTGGTAAGTTCCTTACCTGCCTCCCAGCCACCCTGAACCAGGACAGTCACTGCCCACTGGTTTTCTGTCCCATCTTCCGTGCCTTTGCCATGGGAAGAGCACATCCCATACCTTTGCCATGGGAAAGAGCTCTTACCTGAGCAGGACCCCAGGAAGGCAGACAGGGAGAGCTGAGAACTATGAACTCAGGGTTGTAGGGGTAAGGGGAGAGGGGAGGGTGGGCTTCTTGACTGTTTGGTGGTGCGCACCTTGCGGGAGGTGTCCTCCGTGCCAGGTCTGTGCCCAGCAGAGTCCGCCTCAGAGACCTGGCACCTAGTTCTTCCTGCGTTCGTCACTGACTCACGTCTTCATCCGCTCACCAAGGGCATCTTCCATACCGGCTGCAGGCGCCGACAGGGTCACAGACCATGGAGCCAGGGGGGCCATGAGGACACGCATGGGCTCTGGCCTGGGCGGCAGTAAAGCTGCTTCCAGAGTCCCCCCTGCCCTGTGGTTCAGGGGCTTCTAAAGGGACAAAAGCCTGAAGTTTGGGGAAAGCGGGAAAGGAGTGCACAGCAGGAGGAAGTAGGGGGCAGGGTGCAGCCGAGCAGGTTCCCGATCGGTGGGTTCTCAGCCAGTGCCAGCAACGGGAGCCACCGACCCACCGCACAGACCGTGGCAGCTCCGGTCAGCCACTGCAGAGACCATGGACTCAGGGAGGCTCTCAGATAAGGGCCTGGGCCGAAGCTGGTGGAGAGGCCCCTGGCCCCGACTGCGTGGCCCTACCAGCTGCGTCCCCTGCTGCTTCTCTGGAAAGGGCACAACAGGGGCTTCCTGGACTGGGGACAGCTGCTCTAGATGAGAGCATGGATGCCAAGTCCCCCACCCGTCCCCACTGGGCTACCAGCATGCTGACCTTTACCCTCCCAGCAGAAGACAGAAGACCCCTCTGGATTGACCAGCCCCAAAGAAGCTGACACCAGCAGTCCCCAACAAATAGCTCCTGAGATCCCTCATACTGGTGCTCACTGTTCTTAAGCCCCTGTGTGCCCAGAGCTTCCACCCGGCGGTTGGCACATCCCCTTAGGAGTGGGCAGCCAAGGAGGACCCAGGCCTGAGGAACGCGCCTGATGGGGAAGTGGAGACGGAGCCACACAGGGAAGGCGGCGAGGGCAGACAGTGGAAGGCGCTAACCCAGCCGCCATTGGTGCCCTCAGAGAGAGGACGCTGCATCCACGTAACGTGGACACGTGCCATAGACACGTGAAAAGCACGGCAGGTTTAGAGAAGACAAAAATTAAATGCCCGACCGCAGAAAGAGAAAATCCTCAGACTGGAAGACAGAATGATGTGCTCTCCCAGAAACCGGAGCAAAACGCAGCAGTGCCGGGTAGCTGGGAACTGAGGTGATGGAGGAGGTCAGGGCTCACTCCAGCACGCAGGGTCCGCGCAGCAGGAGTTCCCAGGGAAGGCAGAGGCCAGAGGAGGTGCCTGTGGAATTCAGAAGGCCCCAGACAAAAGGCAGAGTCTCCGGGCTGCAAAGACCCACTGGGGGTAAGAAAGATCCTCTTGAGGTGCACCAGCAGAACCTCAGAATGCAGGGACAGAGGCGAGAGCGGGGGTGCTAGAGAGAGCCGGGGCACCTGCGGGCTCCATGGGGCCCGAGGCCATGCCACGTCTAAGGGAGCATCATTGCCCTCCTGAGGCTTGTGCCCCACCAAACTACCAGGTCAGTAGGAAGGGGGCACCGAGGCATTCCAGTCAGGCAAGGTCCAGAGCTTCCCCCTTCCAGCTGTTCTTTCTTAGAAGCCACCAGAGGACCTGCTCTACCGGGGCCAAGGAAAATTGGGAGTCTTGTCATAGAGACCAGCCTCGACTGCAGGGTCTGTGAGATGGTGGCGGCCAGGAAGTCTGAAACTGCCCTGCAGAGAAGCAGATGCAGCCACCTCTTAAGAAGGGGCATGCGTTGCTAGAGGAGCAGATGCCACACGGATCATGGAGAACCTGGGAGAGGCAGGGAGCACCCACTGGGGCCGGGGAAGGGAGCTTCAAGGGCAAGGGTGGTGTGGACAGTGGGGAGGGCAGGTGGCCTTGTGTCCAGGAGCTGAGTGGGCAGAGGCTGTGCATCAAGGCACCGAGGCCAGAGCATCAGTGGGAGGATGGAGGCAGGACCAGCTCCACCGGCAGGAGGATGGAGGCAGGACCAGCTCCACCGGCGGGAGGATGGAGGCAGGACCAGCTCCACCGGCGGGAGGATGGAGGCAGGAACAGCTCCACCGGCGGGACGATGGAGGCAGGACCAGCTCCACTACCTTGCTTAGGTTTCTGAGCGAGTTTCAAACAGGGTTTAAGACACATGATCAGAAAGGAAAGCAGACAGTCGGATGTGTGGTGTCCCTGGGGAGATAGTCAAGGGCAGAAGGCACTGGGAGCTCTCTTTCCCGCCATGGCTGGTTACCCGATGGGCCCCAGTCCCCGGTTCACAGCCCGTGTTGGCTCCTGAGGCCCTTCTTATTGCTGGTTTCTTGTTGAAGTTTCTGCAGCATCGCTTTGCCCCATTCCTGCCCTCCAAAGGCAGCCATTCTAGTGCAGTTTGCTCTATTTACAGGCAGTTTGATCGTTCTGTTTCTTGTTCTTTCCTGAAAAGCTTTGTGCTTTAAAATCTGTTCACATTCCTGTGAGGATACCTCACCCATTGCCTTCTCACAACTTCAAATCAATTTTTGAATTTCTGACAAGTATCCTAACCCAGAAACTTCATTATCCCCCACCTAAGTATTTCAGACACGGTAACAACCAGTGACGATCTTGAGTTTTGCGAACATAACCCTAATGAGGTGTTTCAGCACCACTGTGCCATTTTTTCTTTCCTCTTTTAATGGAACCCACAAGCCGCTAAGCTGCGTCCAAGGGCTTTCACGTTTCCTTTCTGATGTGCTGAGACGCCACGCAGAAGGCTCAGCTGAACCAGACTGTGGGCCTCAGACAGGCTGGCTGCTGTCCTAGATGTCACTGGAAGTCACACAGCTCATCTGCCTATGTCAGCTGGCACAGTGCTGTGTCCAGGGAGACCTGGGCCTCTGGGGAGTGGGCGCCGGTGAAGCTCGGGAGAGTGTGGCAGGAAGATGACTTGGCACAGCGAGGGCGTCCTCCCAACCAGGATGCAGGAGCAGCGGCAAGAGGACGCCTGGAGCCTTCGCCGCCCTGCCCCAGGCACAAAAAGCCTGTCTGCCAGCCTGTGGCCAACGGGCAATTAGTAAGGCTGGTTGTTCATGGGGCTTCTGGCCCTGTTAGCAGGCTGGAATGTTTTGTGGCCTGGTGTTGGTGATTGTGGCTCCAAACCACAGGAGGCTGCTGGCCTCCTCAGGGCTATCACCAAAATTCTGTGCCTGTAACTCCATTCCCAGACGCAAGCATTTGGATGCAAGATCGTGTACTTTTTCTTTGTTTTTTTGGTCTTTGCCAGATAATGAGCAAACTCAAAACAGTCAGATGGCTTGTGGTTTTAATGTAGACATGGTTGGCTGTGCTTTCAAAGAGATTCAGTGTCTGACAAGATACCCGGCCACGTCTGTCTCCTGTGAGTTCGTATAGCCGAGCGCTTGCATCATTTGGAAAACGAGCTCCCTCGTTTCCGGCAGTGACTTTCGCACGCATGGGAGTAGTCAGTGATGGGAGGAGGCGCCCACCGAGCCACTCCCAGCCGCAGCTACTCAGCTACTCACCAAGGCCAGGACCACCCTTCCGAGGCAGCGCCCGCCCCTGTGGTGAGGTTGGCGCTAGGTGACCCCGCTACAGATGACAGGAAGCGAGCAGGACAGCAGGCGGCTGGGCACCCATGCCCTCCTCCCTTCTCAGTCTCCTTCTGCCTGCCCACCAGCTCCCTCACCCACCACATCCCGCCAGCTTCCCCTCAGCCCCTGCTCAGCCCCAGCGCCTCCCAAAGGGGTCGGGCATGCAGGCTGCTTCCCACGTGGTTAGCCCCATGCCCACTACTTGTTGCCACCAAGGCTCAGAGGAGAGCTGGGCCAACGTGCCTGTGGGGGTGAGGGCTGGCCCCCACGAGCCTCAGGTGAGAAATGTTAGCTGATGCTGGCCCACATCCCAAACTCACATGTGGACACGGGAAGCCATGACTCCAGGCAGGGGTGGGTCTGTGAGCCGTGGACGTGGAGGAAGCGGGCCCAGGACAGCACCTGGGAAGGGAGGTGGGGCCATGCTGCTACTGCTGCCTCAGTGGGCATGAGGGCAAGAGGCCGAGGCGGGCCTACAGAGCACCGTGTTGAGAGCCGGGGACTACCGAAGCCCCTGCTGGCTCGGTGCTTTGTGCAGCCCAGGCTGGGAGCAGGGGCAAGGACAGACCCAGACCTGCCCTCGGAGCCAGGCCAGGTGGAGAGGAGCACGGACTCCCTCTGACACAGGCTGGCCTCTCCCAGCATGAGGAGCTTTGTCTGGAAATGGGAGTGTTGTAGCATCTCCATGGCACCTGTGCCCCTCAGCTGGCCAGGCCATCCCAGCAGCTAGGGGCCCGGCCTGTCTACTCTTTGTCTGGGGGGACTGGAGGCCCCTGAACCTCTTCTGAAAAGCAGCTGCAGCTGCTGCCCCCTGCCCCTGCCTCTGCCCCCTGCCCCTGCCTCTGCTCCCTGTTGGCATGGCAGCTCCCCAGCCCCGGGATGTGGACGTGGATGTGGCCATTCTAGAAGCCTCCAGCCTCAATGCGGATGCATGGCCTCCACAGAGTGGGAAGAGCCTGGGTCAGCTCTGTGCGCCGGGCCTCACACTAGGGCCTGGCTATGGGCATCTGTGGAGCATGTGGGCGTCCTTGTGGGATGTGGTCATGTGTCGGGGGTGTGGATGTCCTTGGGGGGGTGTGGGCATCCGTGGGGTATATGGGCATCCGTGGGGGCCGCAGGCATCTGTGGGGGGCGCGGGCGTCCATGGAGGGTGCAGGCATCTGGGGGGATGCAGGCATCCATGGGCTAAGGCAGGAGAACCTCTGTTGAGCCTCTCTTGCGCCAGCCATTCCCCTGTGGCTTGGGGCCATCGCAGTTGCTCTTCCCAGCCAGGCATGCTGTGCTGTCAGGAAGGGTTCCTCGTGCACACCGAGCTCCCCAGTGCGGCAAGCCATCCAGGTGAGAGGCGGGCGGGCCCTGATGGACCCACAGCCAGCCCCTTCCCATGGCCCCGTTGGCTGGGCCTAGGAGTGTAGACCAGAGTACACGGTGTGCGGTCTGCTGTTCAGAGCCGGTGGAGCATGGGAGAGGAGCCCGGGGGACGCAGCCCAGCTGAGGCCAGAAAGGGGGGTCCCACACTGGATAAAGGAGCCTCTTACATCAAGCCAGTCTCCCTGGAGCATGTGAAATGTCACCCCAGCTCCAGCCCAGGAGGGGCCGTGGGCTGTGGAGATCGAGGGGCCAGGGACCCAGGCAGCAGCTAGGAATGGCAGGCCCTGTGCCTGGTTCCTGGGGGTCTCTTGTCCTCAACAGATGGGTTTTAAGCTGGTAACACGCATTCAGCCAGCACTGGGGTCAAACAGAAAAAGACCACGCCCCTGTCCTCAGAGCACTTCCACCGTTGGAGCAGGTATGGGTGCCAGAGCAGTGGGGTGGGGGCCTCGAGGGCCCCAGTTTCCATGGGAGGCAACCTGGCCTGCAGCTGTGACATCTTTGCAGCCCTCAGTGAGCTGTGCACGCTCCGCCTGGGTCAAAGGGAGGAGCTCTCACTGCATACATTCCCAAGGATCTCAGGGTCGAAGAGGCCCCACCACCCGTCTTTAATCCTGACACCCGCCCCTTGTTTGCACTGGAGGGGCTGCTGCCCAAGCCCTAGGAGCTCAGTGAGGAGCCAGGCTCAGGGTCCAGGAGCAGAACTTGCTGTTAGACACTGCCCCTTAGGGGCACGGGCTGCAGCAGGCACCTACCAGGGTACCTCGTGCTCCCCAGTGGCTTGGTGCCTCCCCGCGGCCCCTGACGGGCTGATGCCACAACAATCTGAGGTGCTCCCACCAGGGTCTGTGACTCGGCTCAGCCCTCACAGGAGCCATGGCACCTGTAAGGGCCAGGCGCTGACCCGGTATCGGGGCCACAGGGTGTCACGTGGGAGCAGTTGCCCCTCGGTGTCCCACAAATGCCCAAGCACCACTGAAGGCCACAGAGTGCTCCCAGGGCCTGCCCAGCGCCTCAGCCGTGTGCCCCTGGCCTCTCTGACCGTCTCCCTCCCCCCACAGGCTCACTGGCCTCCGTGTTCGTCCGGCTCCCCTGCGGTGGTGTTGGGGTAAGTGTTCCTTTAATGTGTAAATAATGTCCTGTTTCTTCTCCAGTCCCAGTGGTCACAGAAATCGCAGCCTCTCTTCCCTCAAAGTAAGTAATTGCTACCAGGTGTTTTCCATACACAGGGTCTGGCGGGCCGGGGCTGCCCATGTGCGGCTTCAAAGGCCGCGTGTGCCAAGAGCCTTTTGACCGCAGACACGGGCACCTTTCTCTGAGGAAGGTCATCTGGTGCTCGCGGCTCGGGCTCTGGGGGGCAGTGGCTCTCGCTGTAAGGAACAGGAGAAACGGGACCCTGTGTGCAGCCAGCCTGTCATCCCCTCCTCAGTCTGCAGCAGTCATCTGCTCACATCAGCCCACGAGTATGGCAAGGCTAGAACGCGTGATTCCTCATTCTGTACCCAGTTTCCACCCGAAGCCACAGGTGGGGCTCCCAATGCAGTGACCATGATTCTCATGGGCCACATGGAGTCTGTGGGGCTGCTCGCTGGGCGGGCCCGCTGCTAGCTGCTGATACATAGTCCTGGCCTGGGCACGCGAATTCACAAGGACTTTGTGGTCTGGGCATCTGCCCATCGGTCCACACAGGAACGGTCAGGTCTTGCAGTCGAACTTCTCAGTAACAAAGGGGTTCTCCCCGGCCCCCAACCTCCTTGATGCAGCCTGGGAAGAGGTGACAGTAGCGAGGGCTGCCGTGAGGAGGTGAGGCCAAGCCTCCGAGAGGTTCTGGGCTATCGTGGTCCCGCCGTGCCGCAAATCCCCACAGGGTCACAGGCAGGGAGGACAGGCGCCCGCGGGCGGTAGGAGCCGCTGCAGCCGAAACAGCGCAGCGTGTGTGTGATCACAGCGCGCAGGGCGAAGCTCAAGGTCTGGATTCTGTTATAGAAATGAAACAAAATTGTTTTCTTCCTGAGTTTTTATAAAAATCACTGCTTTGAAAATTATCCCGTCAGAAAGAGAATAAACGGCATTTATTCATACTACCACCATGCCTTCTAGAGTTATTTTATTTTGTATTGTAAATAGGCTGCAATCTCTTAATTTGGGGCAAGTTTTTGGCCAGACTTGAAAAGAATTGAATTTGCACTGCCCTGCAGCCAGCATGCCTGTGCAAGGCAGAATTTATCATTTGCAAATGAAAGCTGAGTGCAGGCCCAGAGCCGAGGGGTGAGCCCAGCAGCCCCCAGCAAGTGTTCAGTCCAGATCTGAGGCACACAGGCAAGAGCTGCACCCTCCCATCTGGGCACAGGCATGCACTGGAACACAGATGCAGATGAAGAAGCTCCCCACATGGACTCGGGCAGAGAGGGGAGCCTGTTGGCATGGGCAGGGAGCAGTGCGGGCCGTGGGGCATCCTCAGGTACAGCAGTCGGTAGGGTGTGTCGTCATCCGGTTGTTTTCCGGCAGTTAGGCCGCCTGGAGGCCTGCGCAGCCCCGCCCTGGCTGTGGGGTGCACTCGCTGTCCCTGGCACAGACGCAGCTCTCCTGTGCTTCAGTGTCTCCTCCAGAACTGGGAGGGGCCGGCCTTTTGGGGTGTCAGGAGGAGCAAGGTAGACCTCAGGAGCCAAAGTGTGGGCGCAAAGGAGGTGCTCTTGCCTGGGAGGGCAGAGCGGGCGAGCAGAGCCGGCCACCTTTCCCGACAGCAGCGGCAAACTCGCGTGGAGGTGGATGGGGGCTGGGAACACCGGAAACTCGTCTCTCCCCGTGCTGGGAAATGCGGGCCGGAAAGTGCTTTGACTCTTTTCATACCACGTCAGCTCCTCTCCACTGACCGCAAGCTTCAGCACGGTGAGGAGTTGGTGTCCCTGCTTGGCCTCACCTGGCAGGGTCCTGGCCTGCTCCGGTGCGCCCGGCTCCCTACGGCAACTCTGACCTTCCCAAAGGCCTCCCAGCCCTGCCCGCCCATGAGATTCTCCATGGGAATCTTTCTCCGTGTTTCCTCCCCACGTTTTTTGAGAGAGGGAAAGAGAGAGAGAGAGAGAGAGAGAAATTTTTAAACCAGAGTGAGCTATTTGCTCCTTCCCGCATTAGCAGTTGCTGCTGCCTGCCCCGAGCCAGGCTGCTGCTCAGTGGTGCATGCCTGGGCCAGGCTCCCTGCAAGACTGCTGGAGATCCTGGAACTCTGTGCTCACCCCTGAGCGCTGGAGCCATGGTCCTGAAGCAGGCGAAGGGGTCTCTTGAGTTCTCTGGGGACTGGGGCCCTGCTGTGGGGCTGGGGGTTTGTCCCTCACTCTGTGCAAGACATTCCAGAAACTTCTGAACCCCAGGGCCCCATGGGAGGGGGTACAGCTGGGCCTTTGGACACAGGCACCCGGTGGACCGAGCAGCTCCTTGGCATCCCAGCTGTGCAGAGCCCCCAGAAGGCCCTTCAGAACATGGGCATCCTCCACCCTCCGCTCCGCAGTGTTGGCCTCATCCTCATTCAGTTCATTGTATGTTCAAGAAAAATCATCTCTGGGTGCTGTCCCCACAGTAGCAGCCTCGGCCTGGCCTGCCCAGGACCCCGCCTCCCCCGGCAGACACAGGGCAGCTACAGAATCTCATCCTGCCCAGCTCTCACTCCTGGGAGGTCACCTTGGATTTTTTTTTCCCCTCTTTGGAGACAGCCTCACTCTGTTACCCAGACTGGAGTGCAGTGGTGCGTTCATGGCTCACTGCAGCCTCGACCTCCTGGGCTCAAGGACCTTCCCGCCTCAGCCACCTGAGTTGCAGGGAATACAGGCCCAGCCCACCACACCTGGATAATTTTTTTTTAGTTTTTGCGGAGATAGGGTCTCACTATGTTGCCCAGGCTGGTCTCAAACTCCTGGCCTCAAGCGATCCTCCTGCCTCGGCCCCCCAAAGTGTTGGTAATATAGACATGAGCTGCCACACCCCTGCTACCTTTAATTTTAATGAATTGATTCTCCGGCTGAAGTCATCGGTCCAGAATAGTCCTATTTATGTGGCTGCTTCCATGAGTAACAATACAGCGTTATTTAGAGGAGAAGCCATGCTTTGTAGGTTGAATATTAATGCTGTGGAGGGAAGTAAAATGGAGTTATTTTGACATTTGGAAACCATTTATAGAATATAGAAGTTTGGTCATTGAAAAGAAAACCATCGCTGAATACTTTCAGGAAACGTCTTCAGCCCCTTGAAAGCGCATTTTAACTCACCTTGCTCTGATGATGAAGCTTTAAGACCACCTGGAAGGAAACCCTCCCTCCCCACATAATGAGTGGTGTCCGTCAAGTGGCAAGTCTGCCTGGTGGTGGACAGGAGCGCTCGAGGGCCTGGTCTGGGGAAGGACGAGGCAGGGTGGACACACCTGGCTCCTGCTTATGAGCCCAGAGCACTCAGCACTCAGAGAGGCTCAGTTTGAGAAGGAGGCGCCCTGCAATAGAGTGGCAGTAGGCCTGGTCAGCACCGTGGTGAAGCCAAGCAACCTACAATGACAGCTTCTATGTCTTCTACCGGGCAGTCACATCCAGGTCCCCCCAGTGTGTTTGCCCAGGGAGCCTGCTCACCCCACGGCATCTTGCAGGCAAGGGACACACTTGGGGACAGTGCTCAGGTGCTCTAGGGCCAGCCCAAGGCCTGTGTATTTCCTCTCAGCCCCCTGAGGCCTCCCTCCCCTGGTCAGACTCCCCTAGGAGACTGCTCTGCAGAACTGGCTGTCCAGGTCCCAGTCATATTTCCCTCTCAAAATGAGCCAGGGCTGTGAGAAATTTCTACTGTCCTTAAATAAATAAATGACCCAGCACATAGTCGGGGATTGTTGACATGTTTTGTGAAACAGTTTTTCTGTCTGAAGTGGAAAAGGCCAGCGGGCTGACCTGCGGGTGCCTGGGCAGAGCCAGGTGCCATCAGCAGGGCAGAGTGGGACAGCTCTCCTCGCCTGCCCATGCCCCCAGGCCTGCGTAACTGCACTGGTCAGCACGTGGAGCTTCCACTTAAACTCACCACAGGAGAAGTCAGTGTTGGAAGAGACTGGTCCAGATTCCCCTCACATTTCCTTTCACTGCCAATTGTTAGACAGATTGACTATCCCTTATCCGAAATGCTTGGGGCCAGAAGTATTTCAGATTTTGGAAGATTTGCATTATACTTACCGGTTGAGCATCCTTAATCTAAAAATCTGAAATCCAAAATGCTCCAGAGTGCATTTCCTTTGAGCATTGCATAGGCACTCAAAAAGTTTCCAATTTTTTTTTCCTCTTTGGAGGCAGAGCCTCACTCCATTACCCAGACTGGCGTGCAGCGGTGCATTCACAGCTCACTGCAGCCTCAGCCTCCTGGGCTCAAGCAATCCTCCCACCTCAGCCTACAAAATGCTTTTATAGCATTTTGGATTTAAGATTTTCAGATCAGAGATAGTCAACCTGTAGCTCTTCTAACTATAATTCCAGTTTTAAAGAAAAAGAAAAAGAGGAAGTAGATCACCTTGACATCATTCCTTTTAGTTCCAAGTATATTGGAGCAGTTGAGGACATAGAGAATGCCTCAGAGCAGGTCAGGACACATGCGTCTTATCTCTGGCAAATTCACTTGTATCTTCCCATTTAAATGTTGTGGTATGTCTTAAAATGATCGAAGCCCGAATGTGGGCTGAGGCTGCCCCGGCTCTGACTGGCCCCGAGGCTTTGGAGGCAGAGCCCATGGGGCCTGAGCTGCTCTGCCCAGCCAGCGCTGGTGATAACGGTAACCGGGGACGTGACCTCACTGTGGGGTGTTGTTTCCACAGGTGGACAGTGACACCATCTGGAATGAGGTGCACTCAGCGGGGGCTGCCCGTCTGGCCGTGGGCTGCGTGGTGGAGCTGGTCTTCAAGGTGGCCACAGGGGAGCTGAAGGTCAGTCGGGGCCTGAGCAGCTGCGGGCTCCCAGAAGGAGGCCTGCCACAGATTCCCAGTGTGGGGAGGGACCGCCCATTGTGTCCCCCTCTCATCAGGCGGGGAGGCACCTCTGTCAGCACAGCCTCGCTACTGAATGAAAGAGACGTGCCCACTCTGTGACAGGTTATGCCATAGTGCAGATTCTCAAAGATCTGCATCGTAACAACCCTGTACACTCTTGAAAATTGTAGAGGAACCCAAAGAGCTTCTGTTTCCATGAGTTACATCCACAGTGTTGACCATATGAGAGATTAACACTGAGACATTTTCAAAATGTTTGTTAATTTAAACATAGCTCTACTGTCTGGCTCTGTAGACGGCAGCCAGAGCTTGGCATCATTCTTGCCACATGTTGAAGTTCATGAAGGAATCCTGGCCTCACATGGATGCGTAACTAGAAATGGGAGAGGACTTCATAGACTTTTCAGAGGTGTTCTAGCTGTTGGTATTCTTTGACAGAATGCCAGAAATTCAGCAAGTGCTAGTGTCTTAAAATGAGCCGCAGTGTGGAAGCTGAGCTCAAGTCGGGACCTCCTCTTCCTCTTCCTTCGTTACGTTTAACCAAAGCATTAGCCCGTCTTGGAGGTCAAATGGGTCTCTCATTCGTGGGTGATTGGCAGCCGCCTGCTCTGCATTGGTCATTTGGAAATTTAGCTTCATGGAGTTACATGGACCTTCCATATTCTGACACATACAGTATAAAAAAAGGTCATTAATTTTGGGGGGTTTTTTAATTTTTTTTTTTTGAAAGGAGGATTTCACTCTTGTCCAGGCTGGAGAGCAATGGTGAGATCCTGGCTCACTGCAACCTCCACCTCCCAGGTTCAAGCAATTCTCCTGCCTCAGCCTCCTGAGTAGCTGGGATTACAGGCGTGCGCCACCATACCCGGCCAATTTTGTATTTTTTTAAATAGAGACAGGGTTTCACCATGTTGGTCAGGCTGGTCTCGAACTCCCAGCCTCAGGTGATCCACCCACCTGGGCCTCCCAAAGTGCTGGGATTACAGGCGTGAGCCAGTGCCCCCGGCCCAATTTTTGAAACCATTAATATCACTCCCATCTCACCAGAAGTCGTGTAAGTGGAGGGAGAGCCATCAGGCTTACAGAGGCAGAACCGTGTGTTCCAAACTTAGAATTTTTACTTGAAAGCTCAAATTTTGCCACACTTCCTTCCCATGTCTTTACTCAGGGTGTTAAAAGGACGTGTGTTTGAGGGTGGAGAACTAATAACATGTCTGAATACTGCTTCGAGGACGTGGTTAAGGGAAGCTGCATACTCACACAACACATGCACACAACACACACATACCACACACACACGCACACACCATACACACACACCATACAACACAATACAACACACATACCACACACACACACACCACACACATACGTAACACACACAATACACAACACACATACACAACACACAAAATATACATACACGACACGATTCACAACACAACACGATACACACACAGCACACGCACACAACACACAAAAACCACACACATACACAACACACAATACACAACACACATGATACACAACACACACATGCACACAACACAGAACACACAAACACACACCTTCGTGCTGTCCCCTGCCCGGCCCCCGGCACAGTGTCAGGGCAGTGAGAAGAGCACATGGAGCCTCAGGACTGCGGCCAGCAGACCCTCAGCAGGGTTCGAGGCTGCAGGGGTGTGCAGCCTGCCCTCAGAAGCACCACACACAGGCTGTGGACGTGCAGAAATGCAGGGGGGCTGGGGCCTCTCGAGAGCGTTTGCCACCGCCTCGCTGGCTGCCCTTGCCCCTTCCTGAGCCTGGTCCCTGCTCAACCCTCCCAGGCTGTGCTCACTGGTGGCTGGCCGGCTCTTTTGAGGTTCCATTACAGACCTGGACCACGCCATGTCCTGTTGCTGGTGAGACCAGGAGGCCCGTAATCCATTTTCATGGCAGCAGCTATGGAGTGGCTTGCACATGGATTTTTGACGCCTAAGTGACAGGGCAGAGAACAGCGTTTCAGCCCAGTGCGAGTGGAGCTGTTTCATGGGCTGCCCACCTGCCCGCCGTCCTGGGAGCAACCACAGCAAGGGCAGAGGCAGTCACGTTAAGGCTGAGCTGGGGCAGAGCCTGAGCACTCTGCCGTGCGGCCAAGTGTGAGCGGGGCCTCTTCTGCTCCACCTTCCTCCAGTGGCCACCTAGCGGGTCCTGGTCCCCAGCTGATGGGGAACAAGTGCACCCCTTCCACGTCACCCAGACCCCTGAACCAAGGGCCCCACACCTTGCCGACAGCGCTGAGAGCAGGGCGAGGCACCCACCTGTCATCCTGGTGACTGCGTTTCGGAGGAACCAGTAGTAGCTCCGAGACCTATTTAGGAGAAGATCCCAGGCCTCGGAAAGGCTCCCAGCTGGCCCTGCCTCACTGTGGCCAGGGTGCAGAGAGAAACTGTCCTCCCACGTAGCCCAGCTCTGCTGAAAGTTGAGTATGCAACCATTTTCCCGTGGCTACAAAGCATGTCTTTGTCACTCTCTCCCGGCTGTCTGGTGTCACCTGCAGAATGGCTTTGCTGTGGTCCGCCCCCCTGGACACCACGCGGAGGAGAGCACACCCATGTGAGTACACGCCGCAGCCCCACGCGGCAGGGGAGCCCAGTCTCCGTCCCCTCCCTTAGGGCTGGGTGTGTGCCTGAGTGACCACGGGGAGCCCAGGGCACCACGTGCCAGCTTGGCCCCAGCTTCCGGGCGCCCAGGCCTGTGAGCATCGCCGCTTGGTTATGATGGAGACAGGCGGAGAGAAAGGAAGGAAAGGGCCTGTGGAGGTCAGTCCAGAGAAGCCTCTGGTTGTTAAGGAGTCGTCAGCACTTGGGAGGAAACACCACTTCTCCCCAAGTGAGTCCCTGCGGCCCTTTATTGTCTGGAGGACTCAGGCCATTTCGTGCGTGGCCTTTTAGCCGCCTGCCAACCGCCGGGTACTGACGTGGCAAGTCTCAGAGCTTTGTCCACACAGGCAGCTATCGAGATGCTGTTCTGGGTCTTTCAGAGACTGCTGACTGTCCACATGGCCAAGGACTGGGCAGGGTGGGGAGTGTGGGGTGTTGGTCGTCCCGGAGGACCAGCGGGAGGGCCGACCACGGCTGTGCATGGAGTGCCTTGCGACCTGGGTGGTGAGTGAATGAGCTGTCCCGTAAGAGCATGCCGCCTGGGGGGACGTTAGCCACTCTAGTGAGGAGGGTGGGTGCTGGAAGGAGTGGCTCCCGTGCTCTGGAGATGGAGAAGGGGTGCCTGATCTCGCCAGCTGCAGAGGAGGAGGTGGCCTGTGGCTCTGCCTCGGCGAATTTGATCCGCAGTTTGTCAGACGGGCACTGCAAGACAAGTGCAGATACCAAGTTCATTATCAAGGTGTGGCCAGGAAGCAGTCAGAGCGAGACGGAACCACAGGGGCCCAGGAAAGGGCCTCGCTCCTACCCCGGGAATGCGGCATCAGTGCCGGGGCCAGCAGCGCCCTCTCACGTCGGGGGGTTAGATGGTCAGGTCCGCGTGTTAGAGTGAAATCTCCTTTGTGCAGAGAGGAGACTGCAGCTACCAGGGAGGCATTCCTGTTGGAATCTTTGTGGCTTTACCTGGAACCACGTGGTTGGTAAACATCCCAGAGCACCCAAGTCCCTGTGGTACTGGGCTTGCTGCTCCGTTTCTCTGACGTTTCTTTTGCGATTGAACCTGAGGTGTGGGATATTCTGAATAATGAACCTCAGACGAAGAGAAACCAATTCTTCTTGGTTGCAGTTCTCCACTGTGCTCCCTGTGAGCCACTGCAGGAGCTCGGAGTCTAGGGTGCCCCCAGGCGTGTGGGCTTCCCCATGCCAGCCTGGGCTCTGAAAATTAAACCACCAGTTCTTCTGTCTCCAAGGGCATTCAGACAAAGGGAAACTGAGACTGAGAAGCTTTTCATTGTGATTTGAGTCAGTTCATAGCTTGTTTTCTTGGTCTCTTGAGTAAGACTCTCTAAAATTAATGGGGATTTATGTATTGGAATATAGAAAGGTCAGCAGCAAGCGACTGGGATGAACAGTGGCCATGTCTCGTGGGCCATGGTGGGCGGCTCCTGAGTGGAAGCTTCCAGGCAAGGAGGGAAATGTCGGTCACATGCGAAATAGGGTTCCCTACCAGAGACCAGAGGAGCGTGTGGGACCTCCAAGCAGGAACCGTGTGCGTGTGTGTGTGTGTGTGTGTGTGTGTGTGTGTGGTATGTGTATGTGTGAGTGGTTCTGTATGGGGTGTTCACGTGTATCTGTGCGGGCTGTGTGAGGGTGTGTTGCTTGGTGTGTGTGTCTCTGTCTGTGGTGTGTGTGTCCGTGTGGGGTGTATGCATGTCTGTATTGGTTAGCCGACACTGTGGCGTCGGCTAAGATTCCCCAGTGGCTTGTTCGGGAGCCATGCATGCATGTGTGTGTGCGTGAGAGCGTCTGTGTGTGGGGTGCATACGTGTCTCTCCCTTAGCCGATTCTGTGGTATCTGTGAAGGCTCCCTCTGCAGCGTTCAGGAGCTGTGCACTCACAGAGCCTCTCAGGTCTGTGCACACCCCAGGTGGCTCCCTAGCGGGCTGTAGAGAAACTGGCCACCGCCCCCCTGCGCTTTGTCCCCAGCATGGGTTCTCTCCTGCAGGGGTTTTTGCTACTTCAACTCCGTGGCCGTGGCAGCCAAGCTTCTGCAGCAGAGGTTGAGCGTGAGCAAGATCCTCATCGTGGACTGGGTAAGCGGAGCCCCGTCCTCAAGCTCAGCTCAGGGAGCTCCTGTGTCCTCCCCGAGCAGCCAGCAGCATGTGGGGAGACTGGGTGCGCCTTTGGATCTGGGAAGCTTGAGTTTCTGAAAATGTCTCAAAAACGCAGAAAATTAAAGCCCCAAACCTGCTGCGAGTCATGTTGCAGCTTCTACAAGGCGGCCCTGGCAGATGGTGTCCTGGCGTGTCCAGGAATGTCCCTGCGGGTGGGGGCAGTGGCCAGGGCCTCCCTTGGTGAGATCCTCTTGGAAGGCAGGCTTTGGGGAGAAGACTGTCCACATCGACGATGCATGTGGCCTGGGAGCCTGGGAGGGGTCTCGTGCTGGCAGAAGGTGGCACTCTGCTTCCCTGTCACCCCAGTGAGAGCCTTGCCTTCCTGCTGCTGTGTGGGCACCTGGTCCTCCCGGAATGGCGGTCTAAATAATGCAGTGTGATGTCTGAATCTGAATTCCACCAATAGGTGTGCTCATTCTTATACTGGAAATTAATAATCAAGGTGTTCATCTTGTCACTCTTTTAAATATACATACTTAGTGTTCTCTTGGGTATTTATGATTGATTTCCTAATTTTTAAGGGAAAAAAAGCAGGCCCCATCAGGTAGGGTTATGGTTTGAATTGGAAAAGTCCTGAGTTTGGGTAAAGAAACTCCATGGCACAGCCGGGCAGCCAGACAGCCCCCAGGCAGCCGCGCTCACTGGAGAAGCAGGTCGGGAAGGCAGCAGAACAGCGGGCCCTCCACACCCAAGGACTGGGAGCTGGGAGCCCTCCCTCAGCAACGCCTAAGGGAGCAGGCAGGGGTCCCTGGGGAGAGAGCAATGTGAGGCCATTGACAGCTAAAGACTGGGGGACCCCTCCCCAGCACAAGGTGAAGTGCTAGGGCACGCAGACAGCCTACGCAGACCGCCTGCATAGACCACCTGTGTAGACCGCCCATGTAGACAGCCTGCGTAGACACCGTGTGGCGTGCTCCCTATGCGCTGAGCTGTGATGTTACCCGGGTACTCACCACGTGGACGGGCATCTCAGTGGGAAGCCGCACATCGGGAAAGCATCCGCGTGCGTCTTCGTGACGATTACCTACTGAGTTGGATCGAAGCTGCTTGTCCCATCTCTCCTCACCTTTCCTGTGATGAGCACAGATGGCGGAGCGGCAAGTTCCCATACCAGGAACATGAAGGCTGCGTGCCGTCTTCTCAGGCACACAGCTGTGCTCAGCAGGGCCACCCCTCGCCTGCCCGTCCTGGGGGATGCCTGCGGCGTGGCCAGGGGCAGGACAGCCACAGCTGGTAGAAGCCTCAGGCTGCCTCTCACCTTGCCCGCTGGTGCATTTGACCTGTGGGTTTTGTGGTTAAGAAACGGTGCTTGCCGTTTGGGCGCTGGACCCTGTGCTGTGTGTGCCTGTCACTCACAGCCACGTGGGACCTGTCTCCTGTGAACCCCCTGCCTGGCATGGGATTGGCACCTCCCATGTGCCTGCAAGTGGGCGGGCCACAGCCAGTGACCCTCACAGAGGCCGAGGAAACGGCTCACTTGTCAGCCAGCAGGTGCAGGAAATAGGTCAGATGGCTTCATTAGGGAAATGGCGGCTTCCAGGCCCAGCTGAACCCCAGCCCCGCCCGCTGCTGGAGTCAGGATTGGGCCATGGCACAAGGGCAAGGGGAGGCAGCGCTGCAGATGCAAACACTGGCATTTATTTATTTATTTATTTTTTTTGGAGACGGTGTCTGTCTCTGACACCAGGCTGGAGTGCAGTGGTGCGATCTCAGCTCCCTGCAACCTCTGCCTCCCAGTTCAAGTGATTCTTCTGCCTCAGCCTCCCGAGTAGCTGGGACTACAAGCATGCACCACCATGCCTGGCTGGTTTTTTTTATTTTTTAGTAGAGACGGGGTTTCACCATGTGGTCAGGATGGTCTTGATCTCTTGACCTCATGATGCGCCTGCCTCGGCCTCCCAAAGTGCGGGGATTACAGGCGTGAGCCACCGCGCCCGGCCTACACTGGCCCTTAGAACCCCTGCCACTCTGCACCACTTAGCCCTGATCATGCTGCCCCAGCCACGTGCCTACCAGGCGCAGGCCAGGCTGGAGGGCAAGGTCATTGCTGAGCAAGAGCTGTGGGGTTGGGGAGGGCCCTGTGGAGAGTCTGCCCTCTGACACCCGGTTCAGCCCTGAGGTGGCTGTCTCTGCCCTTTCAGGACGTGCACCACGGAAACGGGACCCAGCAGGCTTTCTACAGCGACCCCAGCGTCCTGTATGTGTCCCTCCACCGCTACGATGACGGGAACTTCTTCCCAGGCAGCGGGGCTCCTGACGAGGTAGGTAGCGGAGTGTGTGCGGGCCTCTGGGAGGAAGGTGGAGGCTGCAGGGAGCCACTCTGGGGGCACAGGGCCGACGGTCCACAGCTGCCCAGCCGCAGCGAGCGAGGCCTTCGTGCTCACTCAAGCCCAGACGGTGACCAGTCAGGCGTCAGCCTGCTTCGCGTCGCGTGTGCACACGTGGCCTGTGTTTTGTCCGATGTACGAATGAGAGGCTAGATATCATTTCTGGTTCCCATCCAGGTGGACGGAGGTGTTAGTGAAGGAGGAGGTGTGTGGTGCCCGTCTTCCTCCGGGCAGGGCCCAGGCCACTGTCTTCCACGGGACACCCTCAGGCAGGGGGCTCTGAACACCGTCCTCTCGCCGGCGTGGGGCTCTGTGGCTGCCCCAGGAATGGCAGACCCAGCGGCTCCTTGACAGTGCCCAGGTCCCCCTTCAGAACCTGCCCCTGTGAACAGAGGCCCCAGCGTCAGGGCTTTCATCCAGGGAAGAGGCTCCGTCAGCCTCCGGATCTTACTTTTGTACAGGAAGTAGAAAATGACGGGCTTATCCGAGATACTTTCTGCCCAAAGAGACCCAGGTCTGACTCCCTGATGTCACCTATGGCACAAAACACAGGGCGGCATGTCCCCGGAAACGTCAGTGCAGGGCCTTGGCATGCCGAGGGCAGGGTCAGTGAGAGCCTGCAGCAGCTGGGAAAGGGGCCCCCGTGTTGATGTCAGTGCGCCAGTGGCGGTGGGGCACCCGTTTGTGCACCTTTTAATGAATAGGCACCAGGAGACCAGGACACGTGGGCTCTCCCTGGGGGCCCAGCAAGGCCGAGCCCAGCCTGATGCCACGTGCACCAGGTGTTCCTGTCAGAGAGGTCCCGCTCAGGGTCTGTGACGTGCGTTTCTCTCTTTCTGGCCACAGGTGGGCACAGGGCCAGGCGTGGGTTTCAACGTCAACATGGCTTTCACTGGCGGCCTGGACCCCCCCATGGGAGACGCCGAGTACTTGGCGGCCTTCAGGTGAGTCTCCAGGCTGCACTTCGCACCTGAGGCTGGCAGCTTCTCCTCTGCACACACTCCAGGGAGCACTTGCTGGAGATCAGCGTGTCTAAAACCGGGTCTGTGGGTGAGCAGGGGTGTCTCCGTTCATTCTTCAGTGCCAAGCGTGGAGTCTTGGAGACTGTCTTCTTACCGCCGGGTCTTAGCGCTCACTCCTGAGCATTCAGTGGAAGCAGGAGCCCACTTGGGTCTGGGTCCTGGTGGTGAGAGTGATGGAGGCAGCAGCAGGGACTTCTGTGCAGCATGTTACGTTCATGAGAAATGAAGGTGAACATCTTCAGAATCTCAGAATTTCCTGATTCCTCTTCCGCAAACCTCTTGTGATGCGATGTCAAATGCAAATAAATATTTCTTCATTTATTCCCACAAATCAAGACACGATTGTCACCCTTCATCCTGCTTCCTTCGTGTGAGTCTGATCCGTTAGAGTTTAGCCACAGGGTGATTTTTAAAGACACAGTGTTTGCTTTTCTCATCAACTAGTTATTTCTCCTTTGATGGAGGCCAGATTGGAGTCACGCCTGTGACCAAAATGGGCTGCTGGGCAGTAGGGGTTTTCTTGTCATCATTTTAAAATGACAGCTTCACCTGCTGTGGTGGAGTGACAGAGCCCCGGGGAGCAGCCCACAGCCCACATCAATTCCCAGAGCCTGACAGACCATGGCTCTGTTAGAAAACACCACCTGTACCGTACGGAAGCCCCATACAGCTCTCTAAGAGTTTTCCTTTCTCTCACTCCATGGTCTTGTCCTGATTTATGTACACATAAAACACATGTGCAGACATGTGTCTTTGAGAGGCATATGTGTGCATCTCTGTATGGATGTGTGTGTCTACGTGTGTGTGTGTGTGTGTGTGTGTGTTTGTGTTTGTGGGTGGGTGTTCATCTGTGTGCATGTTTCAGGGTGCTTGTGCAGGTGTCTGCAGCTTTGCACATATCTGTGGGTGTGTCCATGCGTGTGCACATGGACATGTCTGTGGGTGTGAATGCATGTCTGTGTGCATGCAGGTATGCATGTGTGTGCACATCTCTGGATGAGTACACACCCATGCACTTGTCTTTGCATGCATGTATCTGTGTATGAGTATACACACGTGCTGTGTGTCTTTGCGTGCCCCTGTCTTTGTGTGTATATCTCTGTGTGCATGTCTGTATGAGTATACACACACGTGCTATGTGTCTTTGCATGCACCTGTCTTTGTATATCTCTGTGCACACGTCTGTGAGTATGCACATCTTTGTGTGCACCTGTGTGTGTGCACATGTCTGGAGGTGAGGTTCTGCACAAGGACACACCTGTAAACGTTTTCTGTGGACTCTGCACCGTGCTCTCTGGGGACAGTGAATAAGTCATGAAACCTTCTCAGTGTCTGCTCACTTTTCTCTAGCTGGGGTCTAGTGCCCCCCCTTGGAAAGGTTGTTGAGATCTGGTGACATAAAGGCCTGGCCCAGGAGATGCAGGTCCCCACCACACCAGGCACTCAGTGGTTCACAGGAGGAACAGACCCCATGTGGCAGGGCCCACGCTGCCCGGCTGCTTGGCAGAATTCACCCCGGGTGATGCAGGAGGGAGCTCGTCAGCACCTCAGTGGACCTGCTTGCCCTGCACCCGGACCAGTTTCCTCTGATCTCATTGGTTTGATTTTGATGTTTCTTCTTACTTTTGATCAGACGTAATGTCATGTTGACAGTTCCCGTCCAATTGAAGAGACAAGGACTTCCCCAAATGCGTACCACATCCGAAAATGAGCCCATATGAAACCTGAGCCCTGGCGTGGGCTCGTCGCCTTGACAGCTCATGGAATGCATGCCCACTGCCCTCTCTTGCTTGTCACCCCACTGAGAACTGGGCCCCTTTTAAGCTTCTCTGAATATCAAGTCTCTGGCCACCATGAGAGGTGTAGATGGCGGCCTGGTGGACTTACTGCCTGAGTGAACATTGGTGCCGCCTGGGGAACCCAGGGCCCAGTGCGGCCACGTTCCGGTGCAGAGAGAAGGCAGGGCTCTCCTGGTCGGCCGGGAGAAAGTAGGTGGCCCTCTTTCAGGTCAGTTGCCCCAGGCCAGGTTTGGATGGGCTGACCCTCACCCCAGGGGCGTTTCTCAGTGGTGCCTTCGGCTCTCGGGTCCTGGGTTGAAACCCTCCCCCGTCTCCCTGCTGGTGGGCAAGCCCAGGCCCAAAGCTGCAGTGTGCATCTGCCCTGGGGTCACCCCTCCGCAGGCCCCGCCGGCCTGGCCAGCCTTTAGGATGAACGTGCCTTTCTGAGTTGCTCTTGGCATGTGCTTTAATCTCCTGCCAGGTGTGTACATGACAATACCTTATCAAGTGAACTTTTTAAAGCTTAAATAGCATCTTTGAAAAGGAAAATTGTTTCAGGGTTTTGTTTTTTTTTATTGATTTTAATGTAAAATAGTACTTTGAAGTTTACAATTTATGGTTCCCTGGGCATCTGATGATGGGGAAGAAGGCTCAGCGATTCTCGTTCCCCTTTCTTCTGCTCTTCTCCCCCGCTGGGGCCCCCAGGAACAACGCGTGCCTTCCAGCCAGCACCTTGATATTCAGACCCTTTGCTGCCACGTTGCATTTTCGAGGGATCAAACCTAAGACGAAGAAAAGATAAGAAAATTGCCCCTAATGAAATCCAGAAGCAGCCGGCACTTTTTCCCCAGACCCAGAGACTCTAGGAGAAAAGAGAACCTTAATTCAAACCAGTCCTGGGGCCAGAGGCGGCTTTGAAGTTGCTGAGTAAAGTCTCAGCCACTGGGGGAGGGGGCTTGTAAGGCGATCACGATGATGATAGTGATCTCCTTAACCCCTCCCTCACCTGTGCGCAGGGACATGGGGACTCTGGGGACACGGGGTCAGCGGTGAGTGCAGCATCCAGATGATCTTGACTGGTAGGTTCGTTGCATCGTGATGTGATGAAGTTTATCAAAGATGTCTCTGAAACTGGATCTTCTCACGTGCTGATGGTAATCTCTTAATGAATTGGCATTCGCCTTGAAACTGAGCGACTGGGCAAAGCCATTTCACTTTCCCCAA